CGCTCCAGCAGTGGGCGTGTACGTTCATTATCCGGCTTGCTGCACAGATGCTGCTCTGCTCGTGTTCATCTCTTCACAGCAGTTCAGTCAGTGTACTGTTTGAGTAAATTAATTACTCCGGGATATTGGTTTATTTCGACTCAGAGGGAGTGTCAGCCACGTTTAAAAAGTGAATAACTTAAGTAATTTGTGGATTAATGCTTACACTTTTCAACGATTCAGTCCGATTTGGTGAACTGGTTCAACCGGTTCACTAAGAAGAACCGGTTAAATCGAATGATTCGTTCGCGAACCGGACATCACTATTCAGGAGTAGGGATCCAGGGGAAGCTGTACTGAGGAGGACTGCGTTCAAGCTAAAGCCACGGAGCTGAAATGGTGAGCGTTAATTCAGACTGCAATTAATGTTTAAAATTATTGTACTTACTACACCGCTTGCCTTATTCCCTCTGGAACAATAGCTCACGATCCTGGCGAACATGTTTGCAGTGTATCCAGTCTAAAGTAGGCCATGGAAGTCGTGAAGGATTGGGTGGGGAGGCTGCTTATTATCATATCAGTCAGCGATAAAACACTGAGAAAACACAGTAAACGGACTCTAGTGACTGTAAAAATGGGCTCTAATGGAGCATATGTACATTTTGAGCTTGTTTAAAAAACTTACATCCACGCAAATCCTCCAGGACCGTTAAAAACATCTGTAAAGCTGAAGGTTAAATCCAAACTAGATACCGAGTTCATGCTGTTTTTCACTAAAGTGAAGCTGTTTGTAAGTATACACGTGCACACAGTAAATGTTTCTACAGCGCTTCCTCTCTCCGTATGGATATTGAGCAATGCAATGCACATGATAGTTAGACGTTTTCCGCACTGCGTCAGCGTTTCCTTTAGCTATTCCATACATGTGATTATATTTGTATTGATACATATTTAACAGTTAAGCTAATAGTAACGTGTTAATTTATGTGTAAAATTACTGTGTAAAACAGAACACACCAACTAAAATGCCATTCAGTGTAACAATAGTTCATATACCAAAAAGTTTAGTCAGGCATCTTTAGAACAAGAAACATTTGGTGACATTAAAAGAAATGACATCATTTAAGGATCACAGTGCATCCCCCAAAAACTATTTCAAATTTTGAATCATTTAAAATATAGTACAATTTAGTATGCTCACTTTTTCTTTTTACATATTTTAAGTACAGGTCAGAATTCATATGTTGCTTCATTTTTACATCTGAGTTACAGTCTGTTACACTGAATGACAATGGAACATTATTAAACACATATTTTGACATTTTATTTTCACAAAAGTTATTTGAAACATTAAAGTAGACACTCTACTTGCATTTAATATGCTTTACAGGTATGTAAAATCACTTTTGTAAATTTAATTTGATGCGGACACCAAAATGGGACGTCTCATCTTTGACTCAAACACAAAGTATGTGAAATGAAACACGTCAGTTTACATAAGATGAAAATTCAACTTATCTGTTTTCTAAATGCATTATAGATCTTTTTGTAAATTATTCATATATGCATATACTTAAAAAAAAATTTTTTTGTAATTTATTAATCAAACTGTCACAACTCAATCTGGATTTATCCAATCATTTAACCTGACTAAACTCCACCCCTTTCTTAGAATCAACTGCAAGCTTGCATTCAGATCTGCCTTCATCCAGTCAACAACTGATGAATGAAACCAAGTCCCGCCTTAAATTTTTTTTTTTTGATCATCTGTTTAACTTAATTATGCATCACAATATGGAGAAAAAGATTTGTTGCTACTTCTGTTTTCATCACGACTTTAATAATATAAAAGAAATACACAGAATAGAATGTAAATGTAGCCTAAATTAAGTCGCCACTCAGCAGGGACTAAAGACATAAATATGAATTTAATCCTTAACTTGGTTAATGAGGTGAATTGAAAAAAATAGTAAGATATTTTGTAATTCTTTCAGAGTTTCCTTGGAGGTCTGTTTGGTCCAGTGTGTGAAATCGATGTCATTCTGAACGATGCTGAAAGCAGAAAAACAGCCGAGCTGAAGACTGAGGATGGGAAATTGGAGAAGCATTATCTGTTTTATGATGGAGAATCGGTTTCAGGAAAGGTGAGCGGGTAGACATCTCCTGTGAGAGTCATTTCCTAGAGTCTCTTAATTTCAAAGACAATTGACGTGTATTGTGTTATGTCACCCCAAGGTAAATATCAATGTGAAACAAACAGGCAAAAGACTTGAACATCAGGGAATTCGCATTGAGTTTGTAGGACAAATTGGTGAGTTAATACATTCAGTTATTCTCTTTCTCAAGGTATTCATGCAGCAAACCAACTTCAGTATTGCTGTTCTACTGTGCTGAGAGCTTAGGAGAGCATGTGGTTGTCACATGGAAAGGGAGCTAGACTGCTCTAAAAAATATTTGTTATGGTGCCCTAGTTGAACTCATTATTACGGTCAAAAAGATTTTTATTTCCTACACTGTAAAAATTATTTTTCAAAGTTGTAAATAAAAACAAAGATTATTGGACATTTTTACAAGAAAATACAGTTTCTTTTTTTTTTTTACTTCAAAATTTCACATTTAATTAAATTTATTACTTGCAATTATTTTGTAATAGTTTGTGAAATTTTTAGGAATCATTAGTGATTCTGATTGTCTCAGCAATCTCAAAATTGCTGCTTACAATGTCTTTTTTTATGTCTAGACTGCATAAGAACGTGCGTGTGTGTGTGTTTTCCCATCATGCAGAGCTCTTCAGTGATAAAAGCAATACTCATGAGTTTGTAAACCTTGTGAAGGAGCTCGCTCTGCCCGGAGAGCTGACACAGAACCGCAGCTATGACTTTGAGTTCATGCAGGTGGAAAAACCATACGAGTCTTATGTTGGAGCGAATGTGCGATTGAGGTTAGTGAAGACTTTGTAGATGTTTTTTTTCTTCTTCTTCTTCTTCTTCATCTTCTTCATCGTGGCTAAGTTTGGCCAAACACTAATGAGAAAAATCACATTATACTCATGAGTTTGTAAACCTTGTGAAGGAGCTCGCTCTGCCCGGAGAGCTGACACAGAACCGCAGCTATGACTTTGAGTTCATGCAGGTGGAAAAACCTTATGTTGGTTATGTTGGAGCGAATGTGCGATTGAGGTTAGTGAAGACTTTGTAGATGTTTTTTTTCTTCTTCTTCTTCTTCTTCTTCTTCTTCATCTTCTTCATCGTGGCTAAGTTTGGCCAAACACTAATGAGAAAAATCACATTGTTTGTCTTTTGACTGTTGCTTTAGGACACAGTTAATCTTTAAAATTTGTCCTGGCTTTAATTTAAACTCTATCTTTTTTGAAAAGTCAGACAAGATCATGTGCTTTTTATATCTCTGCAGGTATTTCCTTAAAGTTACAATTGTGAGGAGGCTGTCTGATTTGGTGAAGGAGTATGACCTCATTGTGCATCAGCTGGCCTCCTACCCTGACGTCAACAGCTCTATCAAAATGGAAGTGGGCATTGAAGACTGCCTACATATAGAGTTTGAATATAATAAGTCCAAGTAAGTGCACTTAACTTTATTGTTGATTTAATCCTAGTTACATAAAGTGAGCTGCTGAGTAATTCTAAGTATGTATGGATTAATTGGCTTAAACTTATTAGTCTAAATGAGCTAACAAAAGTCTTTTTGCCTATCAGGTATCACCTCAAAGATGTAATTGTGGGTAAAATCTACTTCTTACTTGTACGGATTAAAATCCAACACATGGAGCTTCAGTTGATTAAGAAAGAAATGACGGGAATTGGTATGATCTTTTGTGTTAAGTTTTATACACGTATATGTGAATATGATTTATGCATGACTGTTTTGAAAAAATATATCTAATTTATGATTATTTTTAAAAACTAAAGTTATTATTAAAGAACATTTATAGTAGTCCAGTTTCTTTTGCATGTTATTTATTTTAAACAAGAACATTTCTTTATATACACTACCATTCAAAAGTTTGGGGTTGGTAAGATTTTTAAAATGTTTTTGAAACATTTTAAGCATTTTTGCTCACCAAGGCTGCATTAAACACAGTAAAACAATACTATAAAAACGGTAATATTGTGAAGTATTACATTTTACAAAAATAATATTTTCTATTTTAATATATTTTAAAGTGTAATTTATTCCTGTGAATCTGAATCTACTGCAGCCAGTGTCACATGATCCTTCAGAAATCATTCTAATATGCTGATACAGTGCTCAATAAACATTTATTAATTTATCAATGTTGAAAACCATTGTGTTGCTTAATATTTTTGTGGAAACCATGATATATTTTTTCAGGATTCTTTGATGAATGGAGTTCATCAGAAGAGCAGCATTTAAAAAAAAATTAAAAAAAACGAGTTCAAAAGAACAACATTTATTTGAAATATAAATCATTAATAACATAAAATATCTAATATTAAAATGTTATTTTAAAAAATGAATAAAACATTTGCCCCCAAACTTTTGAACAATAGTATATTTGTAATTTATTTTTATAAATGTAGTTTTTTTTTTTTTCCATAACTTAATCACTTAAAATTCAGTAATTTCTCATTTGGTGCTGAATAATGTAAGACTGAAGTGCATCGTGCGACATGCTTCTCTAGGGCCGAGCACAACTACTGAGACAGAGACTGTGGCCAAATATGAGATTATGGATGGAGCACCAGTGAAAGGTGAGCAGTTGCTTCACACCATTTTCTGTATCATTTTGTAATGATATGAGTGTAGATAAGTCTTTTAAAAAGTTGAATAGCTACTACAGAAGACAGAGTACTAATGCCAGGTAGAACATAAATAATGGGCCTCATTCATGAATCAGAACAGAACAAATTTCTGTGTAAACCATTCATTAAACCTTTCGTGCATGAATCATCACATTCAGTTTAAGGCAGGGTTATTATAGTAAAATAAACTAAAGCCATAAAAAATGTTTGTACTTGAAATAAAATAAAAAAGCTTAAAGGGGTCATATGATGCTATTTTAAAGATCATTATTTCGCCAGATTGTCAAAGCAAAGTCGGAATTGACCCTTATTTTTTTTTTAGAAATAGCCTTTGTGCACAGCCAGCCTTTTACTCTTCTAGGTTAAAAAAAAACTCGTCCATAAAATGCGTTGCACAAATTCGAACATCTGGGTTGTTCTGTTCTGTTGTAAATAAATCAATGATTCCTAATTGCATCTACTTCCGGAAGGCCAAATCCTGAAACCACGCCTTCTTTCTTTGCGTGCACATTTGGGCGGCATTATGCTAATATTTCCACATAGTTACGTATACATGTGGGGGTGTGTTAGAATGAGCCGTTTTAGGTAGGCGTGGTTGACTTAACTTTTATAAAGAATATCTCTTTGGATTTGAGACTTTAGTCTTTGCAACTTTACAGATCTTCTTTATGCACCAAGAGCTTGTAACACTTCAAAGAGAAGGGAAAATTTGAAATCGCATCATGTGACCCCTTTAAACGTTTTATTTCAGCTAGTTGCCAAGGAAACATCTCATTTTCATTTAGTTTAACTTGATGTAATAAAATAACTAAAACTGACATTAAAAATTAATAAAAGCTATACAAACATAAAGCTAACAAAAATGACTAAACACAACAAAATTATTAAAACTTCAGCTAAAATATAAAAATGAAAAGTAATTCAAAATATTCAAAAAATTAAAACGTTAATAGTATTTCAAATATACTAACACTGGTTCAATGCTTCATATAACATTTATATTATATATTGCCAGTTTCATTATTCCTAAACTGACTTTTTTCTTCCTACTGTGCTAAAAATGTATTTCTAGGTGAATCCATTCCTATTCGCCTTTTCCTGGCTGGTTATGACCTTACACCCACAATGAGAGATGTTAACAAGAAGTTCTCTGTGAGGTACTTTTTGAACTTGGTGCTTGTGGATGAAGAAGATAGGAGATACTTCAAACAGCAGGTACAGTTGTAATCAAATTTACAGTATGAAAAAAAATAATTTTGATCTATAAGAATTATATAAAAATTGTACTTTCAGTGTCTCTTTGTCCAGCAAGGTGAATAGAATGATTTGTATTATTTGTAGGAAATAGTTTTGTGGAGGAAGGCACCAGAGAAACTGCGGAAACGGAACTTCCATCAGCGCTACGAGTCACCTGAGCCTCGGCCGAGTCTCTCTGCTGAGCAGCCGGAAATGTGAGCGGGTTTTGGAAAGCAACCATCCAGGGACACGCATACCTCTCAGTGACCAGTCGCAGGAGAGGAGAACATCTTCCACCGAACATACATGCAGATTGCTGTTCACATGGTCACCCCTCACAGCTTATGGTGATGAACTGTGCCTGATTTGGCTCTGTCCTCCCTGCCGTCTACAGCAAGCAATCTGTTAGTATACAAGGACACTTTTTTAGAAAGCACTGGAAACAATGTAAGTAATCTAGCACATCTTGAAGGTTGCACGCCTCCCTAGATGAAGAAATGTTTTTAAAAGTGCACTCACTGGTATCCTCTATGTTCCACATCATAGAGCAGAAACACATAGAACTAAACACATTTTAAAGAGCTTCTTCATGCATGCTAGCTGCTGAATCTGAGTGCATAGTAACAGTTAACAAAGGCAATGGTGTCAGTTTAAAAAGGTCAAGAAATGTAATGGCACCCAGGCTACACTGTATTTGCAATCCACTTAATGTTGTAAAACATTTCTATTTAACTTATTTAGCCATCTTCTCTGTTGTTTGTTTGTTTGTTTCTTAAATACTCTTTATGTTAAATGAATTCTGTCCTTGAAATAAAAAAGTATATACATAAAATATTTAAAGAGGTTTTGGAAGCTTTATAAAACTAGGGCAGTTTGTGTAATTATATTGGGCACATGTATTCAACTTGTCAGCCCAGTTTTGAATAACATACTGGCTTAGTAGCAAAAGTGAATGTCTGAGATGATTCATTGCTTTTGATTGCTAAATATCATCTCTGCTGCAAATACATTTCATACTGTCTAAATTGTTAGACGCCCCAGAGAAATTATGGAATTTTGTTGTATCTTTTGCATGTCATCTAGACTTGTGCCGGTATTCGGTAATGCGATATCTCGGTAATGAATCTGTATTATGACAGCACTTTTTTTAAAACTAAATTTAAATATCGTGATAATACCGTATACCATAATAAAAGCATTAGCAATTAATCGCAACATGAAAATTTGATACCGGCATATCCCTATCCTGCTATAATATTTCCTAACAAAGAGGGATGTTAACAATTTTTCATTGTTGCAAATGTGCTCTTGCATATTTTGTGGTTTATGGATTAAATGTTTATTTGGACCTTTTCATTTTGAAACCGTTTTTGATTTCACTCTAAAACCAGATGTATTCTCTTTTTTCCCCCCGTTCTTCTATTGCTTTGATTTTAAAACTCACACTACATTACTAATGGAAATGTCTGTGTACAAAGCCATTGAGTGCCCCAATGGAAAAGACATAGCGAGTGTTTGGAGAACTGATTGAGTAGTTGTACTACGGCAACGGAGTCATTTGTACATCTTGAAAAATTTTACATATCAAGTCATAGTTTGTTTATCTGCCAATGTCAAATAAAAATGCAAGTTTATACTTACAGCTACACTATGTATTTATAAAAATATCAATGTTATTATTGAGTGGTGCTAAAAATCCATCTTTCAAACCATGTTTTACCTAGAAAAACTTGATAAACCTACCATAGTGACTTGGAGCTGTCGGGACCACTGATCTATATATAATATCTATTGTAGATCAGTGTCGGGACGGAAATTCCATACATGCGTCATTCGCATGTGCGTGTCACGCCATATTCATAGCAAAGTCATGGTGAATTCAGTTTACCGGTTACAGTCTGCTGTAAAACATCTCAACTAGATAATGGCACTGGATCATAAATCTTTCAAGCCTAGTCATATTTGGGAGTGGATTATTCTTTGGAGGCCGTAAGTCAAACCAGTTCACAGAGAGGTCTGCATCAAAATGTTTTTTAAATGCATCAGAAGTGACTATAAAGGTCATGGAAATTCATTGATCGAAGTGGAAACCTATTTGAGCTTTATTTCCTTGAAATAAAATCTTAAATGATAACAAGTGCCCAGTTTTCGCTTCTATCTGTCACTTATTTGTTTTTTTTTTCACCATAAAAGTGAGCTTTAAGAAAATAACGTCATTCAAAAAATCAGTTTCGTTTGCGCTGAAATGCTGAATCCGAAATCGCCCCCATAACCTCAGTAACTAGCCTCTACATTAGGCCACTATTACTAATACAGTTCACTTGAAGGAGTAAATGAAAACGAGTGAATTCGGACACTGAGTGGACCGGAAGGACTTTTGCATAGTTTGTGCTTGCTGTTTAATAATCATTTGAAACTGGCAGCTCCAGTAGTAAGATGAAATAATAAGTAATTAACGCTGTATTACATCATGATGAACGAGCGCTTTGTAAAATGAACGGATGGATGATGCAGCTGCGGGCGCCTTCTTCTGGCGAGACGACTCTCACTCTCACAGTGCATTATGGTAGATACTAGTACGGCTTATAGATTAAATGTTAAAACGGCTTGCCATATTATGGGTATTATTATCCAGGTATTATCTAGCCTTTGAGCATACATCAGTTGTACCAAAGAGTATAGAAGACCAAGAGGCGAAACTCAGTAGAAAGTTCCATTGCAACAGCGGCGCCCAGCAGCAGCCCTGCGACATCCAAAAACGTATTTTAAATGCAAAATTGATTTCCGTACGCTCTAAATACTTTTTTCTTTGCGAAACGAACATTTTCTTAATAAAGCCTGCAAGTGACGTCGCTAGCGGAAGTGCAAGTGTCTGAGAATGCAAGTCTGAGAATGCACGTCTGAGAGACCCTTTTGGTCGCTATGGCAAATATCAGCTGCTTTGTTTAAAAAAAAAAACATACATTAAAGCTGAAATACAGCCTGAACGATGACAACAATAACATACAATCACTAGACTATTGATCATCAAACCCTTTTAACAGTTTATTTTACAGATTTTATTTTAAAGTCTTCCCTTTTTTCACAAAACCTTTTGCTCTCTAGAAACCATGTCAGTTTCGGTTGAAAATATTTTAAGTTCAAGTGTTAGCATTATAAACATTGAATTAATAGCAACATATGAAACTAAATTAATGACAGAAAAATTAGGAATGTTGGACAATAAATATATAACAGGAATATAACAGCTTGACAGTAAACTGTTTTTGCAGTATTGTCTTAATGTCGAAGACTGTAAACAAAAAAACTTTATGTAAAAAACACACACACACGTACAGCCACTTTCTCCAAAATTGTTTAATTAATTATGACAGAGACACAGCAATGCATCATGTTCTAATCTAGATCATCATGTTTGTAGTGTGTTCCAGGGGATTAAAACGTACAATATATATTTCAGACCTAGTGGAGTAATAGTAAATAATAATATAGTAATTGTAAATGTATAAAGTTGCATAAGCTCATTACTTAGTGTCATATCCCTAATTCCCTATAAATCATTATTATGGTTTCTATGGCTAGGACCAGCAGTTCCTACAAGGATTTAAGTTTACTAACGTTACTAGACTAAAAACAGTTAAAGGGGTCATATGATGCTTTTTAAAAGATCATTATTTTGTGTATTTGGTGTAACAGAATATGTTGACATGCTTTAATGTTCAAAAAACACATTATTTTTCAAATAC